ACACACACACACACACACACACACACACAGTTTAGCCATCTCTTGATCCCAGGGGCTCCCATTTTCACAAAGTGGGTTAAATACAGCCCATTTAGCTCACGGGATAATGCCGTCTCCACTGCTCTCCTTGAAAAGAAGAGGTGGGTTAAAGAAAAATCCAATTCACATCTCTGCATCAACACTTCTCAGGCAAAGAAATGGGCCCCCACTTGAGTCTGAGTGGGATAAAGACTCAGCCATGAGTGGATCTGTTTATTGACTGGAAAATCCATGGATTTCTGAAACCACAAGATTTGCTGAACCAGGACAGAATAGAGAACATCCCTCTGCAGCACTTTTTGTTTCTTCTAAAAGAATGGTAATGCAAAAGGAAAAATGTCCAAGTTGCAGTTCACAAAAAAAGTGGATGCTGATTCTTACTACAAAGCTCCAGAAAAGAAAAAAAGCACCATTTTAATGGTGCAAATCTGAAAATAATGACAAAATAATTCATTTCTGGGTGAACTCTTCCTTTAAATAAGCACTGCCATTCACCTACAAGAATGCTGCCGCTGGCTAAAAGGTCACGCTTCACACATGCATCTCGCCCTTCCATCAAACACACCATAGATCATCTGTGTAAAAATTCAATGAAAACTCAAGGACTTCTAAGTTGTAATGATTAAGTTTTATCTGTGTCATGAAAATGAAAGCATTCCGTTCATTTTAAAATATGATTAACAAATACTTTAGTGCCTGTGGGTGTTCAAAGGACTCGGTAAAACATGTTTAGGCAGTTAACATAAATCTAGCATCAAAACTTGCATTTAAAGTCATCATGTCATATCATGTTTAATCCACCCTTTTTAAACTCTTCAACAAATTTCCAACAATAAATTATTCCATAATGGAAATGCAACAGCAATAGCAAGTTGATGCTATTTTCTGAAGGGGATGTAAATGCTATGAGATCATCAATCCAACAAGAAACAGATGAGACATTTATGTAATAAAGTAACTAATTATAAAGAATAAGCAATCAAAGATGTGTCAGAATCACCAAAGTGCAAATATATAATAAAAAGAGAAAAAATACAAACTAACTTTTCTTTTTCTATTGCCAAAGTATTAACTTGTTTATAGAACTATTGCATGCAATCAAATTCAAATATGCAATTGGGTTTGTTAATCTTATAAAGTTGGTCTAACTAAAGCACTGCACAGAGAACAGGTCATGGAGGTTATTTGGTCTCCAGGAATCAGAGCACGGAGAAAGCTTTGTTTGGGTAAAAGCGTATTGTTACTTGCAACCGCAGAGCTCTCAACAGGACTTTCCTGCCTCCTATCGCTTAGGCATCCATATACAGCAGGTGGGAACCCTTGTTTGCTGTGATTTTTAACGCATAATTTCACTCTGCGATTATATATCCCGGTTGGGTGTCCTTTTACAGCTGTTCTCCTGCGGCCTGCTGTGCAGCCTCAGGCCACGATCAGTCACAGAGCGACAAAATGATGGCAAGACAAAAGAAAAGTCCACTATGAGGCAAGAAAGCAGTCTGGACTCAGGCAGTCCTAATACAATATCAGTCTCTTATACAAAGTGAAACTGATCTGCAATTATTTAAACTACAGAGCGGCTCCTTCTCAACTATAAAAATATCAAATAGATATTGACATGGAGTCACACAGTGAACACTAGAACTATCTGTTACCTTTTCAAAATCATTTGGCACATCAAGAATTTTCTACTGCCCATAAATCTGTAAATCCAACCAGGGAAACAGACCTTCAAGGTATCTATTATTTGAGATGAAACACTTAAGTATTTTAGTGCCTCAATCAAAAATGCAGATGGCACACCCACAAACTTTGATGCAAGTCTGTCAGTTATCCTTCTATAATGTACTGACAGCAACAGTGATCTCTGTCAATCAAATATTTATAAAGAGGTTCTCAGTTTCTTAGGCCTGCCACACATGACAGCTGTACAGACCTTTTCTTAATTAAAATGGTCTGCAACTGAAGTCAGGGGAGAATGATACACATCGGAAGACACTCCATAACTTCCAAAACTACTGTATGGTGTAGGCAGATCCCACAAACCACAGCAGAAACTTCAAACAAGTCCAAGCTAATGCTCACAAAATCACTGAGAAAGACAC